AATTTTATTTCTACAATTCGCTTGCGCGTTGTGGTCTTTAGCTGTGGATGAAAATATGACAATATGAGATCCAGGAGAAAACCCACGAACTTGGAAAATGAAATGAAATGAAATGGGGTTTAACGTCCTACTGTTCTGCTCCGATTAGACTAATGAAGATGAATACGCCATACAGTGTGCTATGAGGGACATGTTGCCCAAACATCAGCGCTACGGTCTACTCTTATATCGAATTCCAACTGTCAGAGGACCTTTTACGTGCACGCCAATGTGTACACGGGACCACCCGAACAACTATACGTTGTCCCTTTCCATGTCCTTCCTCCTACATAACTGAAAAGCCGAATATGACGTGAGTTAAACGTCTCGTCAACACAATCAAAGCGGAAAAGACCTTGATACCTATGAAAAGTTTAATCCAAAACAACAATGTGAAGACGATTTATCCCATTTTATGTTTGAACGTTGTAAAACGAAGCATATAAGATCGGTTTCTTTCGATACTATTGATTTGTTCTATTTAAATCGAAATAATTATTTAAGCTTGTCAAATACCAGTGATCCTCATATTTTGTACCTCAATTCCTATGTTTATCTATTATGTTACAAAATATCGCAAAAGTTTGCTCTATCAAATCTGTTCTAACATTATATATTATTTATTATAAATTATTTATGTAATCTATTAGTAATGTCACCAATTCATGATTTATGATGTAAATATTGTTGCACATATATTTGTAACTTTCGAAATACGTTTCTTGTCAGTATGGTTAAAAAAAAACATTGATTGTGGCTGACAATTGTATTTTATCGGCCTAATCCATAGAACATTTGATCTGTCATGTTTTAATTTGTCACACCTTCATAGTTTATAGATTACCATAAAACTACTTAACTGATCAGATTATTCTGTGTCATGCACCCAGCAATTAGTCATTCAATATTTTACATGACATTAAACATCGAATCAAATGTAAAATGTGAGATGTTAACGTCCACTTAATAGGGCAGGATTAACACGGTCGTGATATTGAGTAACATGAGATATATTATATGCAATTATTACATACACAGACAGATTAAGAGAGAGAGATAGAGAGAGATAGAGAGAGAGGGAGAGAGAGAGCGAGAGGGGGGGGGGTTAAACCATTATAACAAGAAACTGTCTTCTCATTAATGAAATGATAGAAAGACATGATCTTTCACACGGCCACTTGTATCAAGTAATAGTAAATACATAATCAAAAGAGAGAGAGAGAGAGAGACACACACACACATACACACACACCCACCCACACACACCCATACACACACACACACACACAGAAATGGGGTTTAACCTCCACTCGACACAAACTAGGTCATTTCGCGACTAACATATGGTTCAATTTTATTTCGATAATTCGCTTGCGCGTAGGGTCTTCAGCAGTGGGAGGAAACCGGAGGACCCGGAGAAAACCCACGAGGTTGGACAGGGGACCCTACTTCTTGTCACGTACAACTGGGGAATCGAAACCACGCCAGTTGGCTCAATGACAGACTTTATGATACAGCACGTACGTGCTAACCATTCGGCCATCCAATCCCCCAAAACATGAAGGAGTGGGACTACATTATATACACCTGGGCCTCACTATGGCGTGATTCATTAAACGGTGGTTTTTGTATTAAGTGAAGTTTGTGTGGGTCTCTCAGTTGTTTAGTAAAGTAAAATGAAATCGAGTTTAACGTCCTACTGTTCTGCTCCGACTGGGGTAATGAAGAATTACATATGTCATACAGTGTGCTTCCAGCTTGGGTGAGATCGCAGACAAGTGTTTCCAAAGAAACTAGCCAGAGAAACCAAATAGTAAGCATAGTCCAGCTTGGATAGGAGTCGCGAGATTGATTAGTAGGCCTATTCGATTGGCTTTTGCAGGGTGGCGTCCAAGGTAGCATTTCAACCAAAGGGGTTGCTCCGGGTACTAACAAGAAAGCTGGCGAGCGTGCGCAGTATACCCAGCGTTGCCATTAGTGCTATGATCTTGTCGAGGCTAAGTTTATAGATATGACTGGCAGCGCACCTAGGTCCAGGTGGACCAAGCAAACATTCACCGAACCAGGCATTGCCGTGCCATTGGCCTTACCAAAAGCCAAAACGGCCTCCTCCAGGACCCCCGGCATCCTTTCACGTGGGTATGTCCGACTAACAGTAGCCCTCTCCATGATTACTTGTGATAAAGCCCAAGTCGTTAGACAGTAGAACACTCGTCTTGTCCCTACGAGGACAACCCATAACATCTTGGATACCAAACTCGCGAAATAGTAGATTAGATCTCATGTCTGCCTACCCTGGGATCCGGACAGCACACTGTGGCCTACTGTTACCTCGGTTTACATCCCAGCCGAACGACTATACGTTGTCTCTGGCCAGGTCCCCCGTCCTGCATCACTGACAATGGGGTGGGTGGTTGGACGACGCCGGAAATACCGATAAACTCTCTCGGACAGCGTAGGGATCGAACACGGGATCTCCAGGTAAGCGAACCAATGTGTTTAATATAATACAAGTCCTTCTAGAGTTTGTAGTAGGAATATTAATTAAAATATTTATTTTAATATTTCCCTCTTTTATTCAGGTGCAATTCCAGTATGAGAAGTATTATTCAACTATACGAAAACCCCATATGAGAAGTGCTATTTAGCTATGTGGCATTTTCATATGAGGAGTGATATTCAGCTATGTGAATTCATCATATGAGAAGTGATATTCAGTTATGTGAATTCATCATATGAGAAGTGGTATTCAGCTATGTGGAATTTTCATATGAGAAGTGATATTCAGCTAGCTATGTGAATTAGTCATATTATTTGAAAGCCTCATGTGAGAAATGGTATTCAACTATACGAAATCCTCAAATGAGAAGAGATAATCAACTATGTGAAATCCCCATTATAAGGAATGGGATTCAACTATTAGAAGTGGTGTCAGGTGTCTATAATAATGCACGAAATGTCATGCATTATTCACACTTATTGTCAAAAAATATTTTTGTCTAGACATTAAATAAATCTACAACTATTCGTGTTTATTATCATTACCAAGACATAAAGTTGTTAAAATCATCCTCATATATACCTAACAAGCAAGCAAACAGTAGTGACCCTTGTGGGATACCTCTTCATAACGATGTTCATTGAATATTCAGCATAATGCTAAGACATGCCTTATCGAGGCCCCATCGTAAAGGTCTTTTGTTAAATGCAGTATATAAGTATTGTGTACATTACCATGATAATATGTCCACAAACGATAACAAAGGTCGTATTATAACATACTGTACAACTGACAGCTTTATTAATAAGATCAACCTTGTCCTGACATGTAGGGACAAACGCCGTCGATATATTATGTATGATGAAAATAAATATAAAGATCACATTGTTATTCGGATTCGAGAAATTTCATATTTCAGAGAGAGAGAGAGAGAGAAAGAGGGAGGGAGAGATAGATTATTCCCCTTTATATATCGAGGGAGGGAGAAGGAGGCTATAAAGGGATAAAGGGGAGAGAGATATGGGGTTTAACGTCCACTCGACAAAAACTAAGTCATTTCGGAAATAACATATTTTTAGGTTTTATTTCAAAAATTCGCTTGCGCGTGGGGATCTTTAGCCGTGGGAGGAAACCGGAGGACCCGGAGAAACCCCATGGGGCAACCCTACTCCTTCTTTAACGTACAAACGAGGATTCAAAACCACGCCACTTGACTCAGTGACAGACCTTGTGGTCCTAGGCGCACATGGAAACCAATCGGCCACCCAACCCCCTTCTTTCATATATTACATTTCAAGCCTGGAAGTAAAAGTTAGGAAGGCTACTTGATCATCAAGCCCAGCGATTGCAAAATTATGATTGATGGGACAAACAACCTTTTCCCGATCATATTGTCCAAATGGTGCTATTATGATAACGTTAAACAGTTTGAACATGTAGGAATCCCACCACGGCAGTAAGAATACCCTCTTACCACCGGTGTACACATTGACAAATAAATAGTCAATATTATATTGTTTAAGTTGAACTATTCTGTAAGTCAAGTTCTAAGTATGAAATGTACTAAATGTGTATTACTGAATATTACTTGTTTTTTAAAAGCTCAGTATGAAGTGGAGTAACGGTGTTACAATGAAGTTCTCGTGTATAAGTTATAGTGTTGTTTGCTGTACCTCTAACCTCGTGGGATTTCTCCGAAATGACCTAGTTTGTGTCGAGTGAACGTTAAACCTAATCTCTCTCTCTCTCTCTCCCTCTCTCTCTCTCTCCCTCTCTCTCTCCCTCTCTCTATCTCTCTCTCTCTCCCTCTCCCTCTCTCTCTCTCTCTCTCCATCTCTCTCTCTCTCTCTCTCTGCTCTACCAATCCAAACCCTAAAATCAACATATAAGAATCCTACATATCAAATTTTGGCATATTTAGAGATATACACAGAAAACAACTGAGAATAAAACGTAACATAATCACATGTTAGTTTGATATTATTTCATGCTTCGTTATCTTGTCATTGCTAGTTAACAAAGGAGAGAACACTCGACGAAACATATCCAGAAATAAACATCATATTATGAAACTGTGTCTTGTTTTAAAAGCCACTGTGGCAATGGTAAAAATTATGTCAAACCATAAACAACTTTTTTTACATCCTCTACAAAATCTAATCATATAAATAAATAATGTCCACTTTCCGAGACATGTAGGTTACCCATTGGTTAGAATAAAAGAGGTACCGACTGTAATAATTGTTAATGTGTGTGAAACATGTATATTTAACGTCCGCTACCGCTAGGTTGATATCGGATCAAGAATAATCGAAATTGAATTTCTGGAAATCTATATCGCCGTATCGGTAAAGAAACGAGAACCAATTTCGTATTTGTAGAGGGCACGGCTCAGACACTATTGTGTGATAATAATCATTAATCATATTTTAAGTGAAAGTAAAAAAATGACATAACTTACCTCAGCCAGTTAAAGATGTTTTCTATAGCATATGGTTACTTGGCTGTTTTAAGATAAAAATGATCACTACCGCGACATTCGATAAATCCCTAGATTGCTATCACTTTATCGCCATATTGATTTCAATGAAACCGGTTAGACACACAATATATGTCGTCTGCTATAAGTTGTCGTTTGGTCGATTTTTGTTTGACTTGCCGCCTGTGACGAAGGGGAATAAACAGCGATAACATGTTATTAACACACTTATAATCCTACTACTGTTTATGGAACGACTGCACCGACAAAAATCACGTAGTGGTAAATGACATGGGTTTTGACATGTGTCATGTAAAAAGCGGGGTATTAATTCTACTACTGGTGTATGTAATGACTACACCGACAAAAATTACGTCTAGGTAATTTCAAGGGTTGCGACATGTGCCGTGTACGAAGCAGGGTATTAATAAACCCCTAATCCTACTACTGGTGTATGGAACTGCACCGACAATAATCACTTATAGGCAATTCCATGGGTAGCGACATATGTTTTGTACGATGTAGGGTATTAATACACCCATAATCCTACTACTGGTGTATGGCACGACTGCACAGACATGGGTTGTGAAATGTGTCGTGTACGATGCAGGGTATTAATACACTCATAATCTTACTACTGGTTATGTAACGACTGCACGGATTATATCACTTATGGGCAATTCCAAAGATTTCGAAATGTGTTTTCTACGAAGCAGAGTATACCGGGATATTGATGTATGGAAGGAATGCACCGACAGAAATCACGTCTAGATAATTCCACGGCTTGTGACATCTGTCTATAGTAATCCTACTACTGATGTATGGAACGGCTGTACTGACAAAAATCACTTATGGGTAATTCCATTGGTTGTGACATGTGTCGTATACAATACAGGGTGTTAATACACCCATAATCCTATTATTAGCGTATGAAACGACTGCACGGACATAAATCACTTATAGGCAATACCACGGATTGTGAAATGTGTCGTCTACGAAGCAGGGTATACTCGTGCTATTGATGTTTGATGTACGGAACTAATGCATCGACCAAAATCACGTCCAGATTATAGTTATGAAGTTCATATTAAAAAGAAAAACACGATTACACGGATTGTGAGATGTGTCGTGAACGACGCAGTGTGTTAATACACTCATGTGTCGTGTACGAATCAGGGTATATCATTCTATTATATCATGTTATAGTATTCATTTCTGTTCATTAACCATCATATTTTGTAAACTTTGGTATATTACATATCATGGATATCTGATTTCCTTTATTTATAAGATCTATAAATTAGCGTATTGTCAATGGATAATTCAGTGAAATCTTTTTGCTCAGGAAACAAAAATTACAAGGATTCCTTTTTCTGTATTTGAAAATGGAATTTATGTTAATTGAAGGAATTTCTGTAAATTACAGGAAAAACAAATGCGGATAGAATTTTCCTGGTAATTTTTGTTTCGGGAATTTTTTACGTTTTTTTCACGGATTTTGTTTGTTACAGTGCAGGAACATAAACGTTAAAATTAACATGTTACATTAAGACAACCATTTTGTCCTTCTGAAAAGTCAATATCATATATTATCAAAAACCAGATGGGGTCAATAAGTTCTAAGCACCTAAATTATCGTTCAATTTGATAAAAGTTATAGAGTACTTTGTCACACAAATCCCCCATTTTTACACGGATTGTGATTGAAGCTTGACGTATTCCTGCTACTGATGTATGGAACGACTACACCGACAAAATCACGTCTAGCGAAATTACACAGTGATCCATGAGGAAATTTTGCCCGAACTGCTCTTATTTCGGATTCCAACGTGTATACGGGACCTCTGTTTTACGTCCCATCCGAACGACTAGAAGATGTCCTTGTCAGACGACCCGGGAATTTCTCGACCAACAACGGGATCGAACACATGACCTACTTATTCACTGATCCACATCGCCTCGACACAACCACCCCCATACACCACCCACACTACCCTGCACCAGTTGTCTGTTATGAGAAGTCCAGGAATGAGGAAGGAGGATAACTGGTATTGTAGCAAGTTTAAGAATATAATATACTCTTAATAGACAGATAAATAGATCAAAAGTTTTGATCTTGATTGCCGACAACCATAACGTTAGGGGCCGTGGCTACCAGTACTTGCCAACCTAACAGGAAATGAAATTAAAAGGGGTTTAACGTCCTACTGTTCTGTGTCGACATTCGCCATACAGTATGCTAAGGACTATAGTTGTCCCTTGCAAAGCCTTATCTCCATCATCAACAACGAGGGAGGAACCAAGTATGAAAATAGTTCGTATACAAACGTACAGTGTGAGTTTGTTAACTATGTGAAAGTACCAAATGAGAAGTTCTAGAAATAATAGACAGCGCGTATACGGTCATTACAGGTCTATGGTTATTCGTGACGCAATACTGTTCAGTTTGTTTTTACTTTATCATAAGACAAAATGGTAGAAACCACATTATTGAAAACAACTTTATATTTCCGAATTCTTATACAATATAAAGCAAACATAATATAAATTAAAAATGGGTAGTTTTAAAAAATTTATGTCATTTTTACATTGTCTCTCTCTTCTTACTTTTAGGAACTGTTTTTTTTTTTAGGAACTTCTATTTTATTATAAATTGAATTTTTAGAAACTTCTTTTTATTATAAATTGTATTTTACTTTGTTATTGTTAAGCGCATCTGAACACTTTGGTGAAAGATGCGCTATATAAATGTATTAAATAATAATAATAAAAATAATAATAAATTTTAATTTAGGATATTTCATGCAATACATGATATTTTATCATAAGACACAATGGTAGAAACCACATTATTGAAAACAACTTTATATTTCCAAATCATAATATAAAATAAAAAGAAGCCATTTCAATTTAGGATATTTCATGCAATACATAATAAAAAATATAAAAACAATCGGGTCTACGACTCATATTAAGAATGTCCACTTGACCCTCTAACACGTCTCTGTTTTGAGAAGTATAAAAGCGGCGTCAAAATTACCAATAATGAACATATCTCCAATAGGCCAGGGTTTGGTTAGATCGAAATCCCCAGTCGTTTTCGACAATCCTACGCCTAGCAGCATGGGTAGTTTTATTCGGTCCTGTCATTATTCCAACACTTACGCCATCACCAATTACGTCACCAATTAGGGGACTGTAAACATTTATCCAAGAAGGAGAAAACCCTAAATAAAAAGACCATCGACTTCCCCATTCACCAACTCCAATAACTCCTCCATAAAAATACCTAAAGTAATATAAAAACAAAAATCCAATCATTTGAAATTTTACCAATTTCTGAGTGGCGCGAGGGATTTGAAGTTAAAAGACCATCGCCTTCCCCATTCACCAGCTGCAATAACTCCTCCATAAAGAAATTTTGAAAACAAAATCCAATCGTCATTTGAAGTTTCACCGATTTCTGAGTGGTCCGAGTGATTTGAAGTTAAACGAATCTTACGTGTACATTTCTAAATGTCAATTCAATGGCTTTTCTGGTCTGTTCTCGGCCATCCATTCAGTTATCCAGTGAATAAACATGGTTAATGTTGTGTAACTACCTCAAGTTATGTGATGCCCCTTCTAAGTTTCAAAAATCCCTGGGAGACACGGTGGCTATGTAAGTAAGAAGCTGGCTCGCTAGTCAGGGGGCTGGCAAGGACAGTTGTCTAGTGGTTCGCATGGAACGAAAAACTGGGATTCCCTATACACATTGGCGTGCACACGCAAGATCCCGTGGAAGTTAGAATTTTATATAAGATTTGGCCGTAGACAAAATTTTCCTCATAGCTATATCCCATGGTGTTTCAGTGAGTCTGAGTGAGCGAGCTGTTGCATTGTTAACCTGGTGGTCCTGTGTTTGATTCCGTCCATATGGACTTTCAAACATGGTTCCCGTTTTCAGTGGTACCCTCGTGGGTTTTCTGCGGTTCCTCCGGTTTCCTCCCACTGCTAAAGACCCCTGCGCGCAAGCGAATTATTGAAATAAATTAAACCATATGTTAGTCCCAAAATGACCTAGTTTGTGTCGAGTGGACGTTAAACCCCATTTCTCTCTCTCTCTCTTTCAGTGGTACATGACTGAGTTCCTGGCAAGGGACAACGCATAGTCGTTCGGATGGGACGATAAAACGGGGTTCAGTGTACAAACATAAAGGCCAAATATATTTAAATTACCATGTCGGCACAGAACCTCCAGCATCCTTTATGACGTCAGCGACGAAGATATGACTTTTGTCTGTATTAGGGCCTGTTGAGTAGTTTGAAGGTCTACCCCATTTTGTATGTCCAATAAATGATCTGGCTTTTTCAGCTATTTGAGTTCCAATAGGTGATGGTTCTGTTTCTAGAGCTTCACATCTACTGAACTGCAATATAATACATTACAATTTAAACCACAAATCATTACAATTTAAACCACAAATCATTAAAATTTAAACCATAACATAATACATTACAATTTAAACCACAATTTAATTCATTACAATTTAAACCATAATATAATACATTGCAATTTAAATCATAATAAAATTACAATTTAAACCAGAATATAATATATTAGAATTTAAATCATTATATTGTTTTTTAAAAAAAAGCCGACGCTAAACAGTAACCCGGGCGATACGTGAATGGGGGATTGGGGGTGCAATGACGGACATTCCGTCATGACTCATGGCTTTGAGGATAAGTAAACTAGACACTCACCGTTTCCGCCAAGTTAACTGAAAGGCCGCAACTAGTCGGAAGGAGAAATGGTGTGTAACGTCCATTGGATACAAACTAGGTCAATTCGTCACTAACATATGGCACGTACAAGCAGGGAATCGAAACTACACCATTTGACTGCTTGGCAAGCCTTATGTTCTAAAGCATATGCGCTAGACAACACCCCCCCCCCCCCTCGCAATTGCGGATACTTGATGTCCTGTGCTGATGTGCTAGTGATGTTTCGGTTATGCACGTTCCAACCGGTCATGCTTATCATCGACAAGAGTCGACAAGGTCCGAAAAGAGAGTTTCTGTTGGCAGTAGCACCCAAAGTATTCCAAAAGTAACAGAGAAGGAAAGAGGTGTTATAGATATGTACATTCTACTCGTCATATCTAAAAATTAAATGATTTTATGGACAAAATTATGGATAATTGAATTTAATTGAATGACAGACCCTGTGATACAACGCACACGCGCTAACCATCCGGTCATCCAACTTTAAAAAAACAAAACTAGCTTACCGCTTGCAAAATCAAACAGCACACAATGGTAATGCTCGAAATCCCCATTTCGTCTACGGGTAAAGCTTCTTCTGACGACTTGGTAAGGCTTCTTCTAACGACTTGGTGAGGCTTCTTCTGGCGAGTTGGTAAAACTTCTTCTGGCGAGGTAGTAAATAAGCTTTCCGCGACTTGGTAAAACTTCTATTTATATCAGTAATTCGGTGTTTCTTGCCAAAAGTACTGGACCAATAGAATGGCAGCATCCTCATCATACATTGTTATTGTCAAGTACTTCCCGTTCACATTCTCAGTAATCTTCCTCAATTGGTTTAAATTTAGCCCATAATCTTCCTCAATTAGTTTAAATTAACCACCGTACCATGTAGTAACTACTTCAGTTTTCAAATTGTTAAAATAATTGATTTAATCTGTCCAACAATCCTTCCTATTTATCCATTGATCATAATTATAAATTGTCTAACGCGTTCGCTTTAGATAATAGGGTCTGCCATTGAGTTACGTGGCGTGGATTCAATCCCATAGTTGTACGCGACAAGGTGTATAATCTCCTGCGCAACTGCGTGGGATCACACCGGGTCCTCTACGCTCAAGCGAATTTTTGAACTGAATGTTAGTTCTGAAATGCCCCCCCCCCTTCTCTCTCTCTCTCTCTCTCGCTCTCTCTCTCTCTCTCCCTCTCCATAAATAGGTTGATGTTATGTTGTCACTAGTACTTTTATAAATGCGCCGCCGGGGCTCAATAAGTGAGACACTGGCTCGCGAGTCTGGGGGTAGCAGGGTAGCTCCCGGTGTTGGCCAGGGAAGTTCATTGGCCAGGGTTTCCCATGTCAGTGGTGCAGTACGGGTAAAGAAAAACCGAGTACCCGTGTACTCATTGGGGTGCAGGTAAAAGATCCCTTGGTTGTTGGAGTTCGATATAAGAGTGGGCTGTAACGCCACTGTCCGGACAAAATTTCCCTCTTAGAACACCATGGAGTACGCCCGTCTGCAATATCCCAATCGGAGCAGAACTGTAGGACGTTAAATCAAATTTCATTTTATTTCATTTCTTTTTATAAATGAGCCACCGTGTGCACATTGGTGGGCACGGAAAATAAGCACAATGTAATCTGGAAATGGATGAAGAATATAAGTAAACACGGCTGTTCGAAATCTAGTCCCGCGGCATTGCGTATATGTACCAGTCTCCATTTGCCCCGTAGGTTCAACAGTTCGATATGTTATAAATCCAATTTCATGTGATGCAATTTGTTATCAAATAAAATCTCGGAAAACTAGGGTATTAGGGTATTCATAGCCTTTGGATTTAAATTGTCCCGTATCTAGGTTTAAAAGATTTTAATGAGTTCAAGCAAAATTGGTATTATGACCACCGGCAGTAATAAATTATTGTATTAACTTTATTAAACTTTTCTTATATTCTAACATTATGCTGCAATCTTTGTCAGTAATCTTTTCATTGTGTACCTAGGGCATTTTCTTTCGTGTGATTACAGTCTCGTATCATTTAGTTTTCGTTTCTTGTTTCTTTTGTTACACACTTTTTTATGTTATTTGAAGTAAATTTTATTTACTCCCTGTTCTAGGTGATATTCCAACTCGAAAATTTCTTGCCATTTCTTCAATTTTTTATTTAAATCGCGACAACTTAGTGACATACTATCCGATTAAAATGCAGATCTATATTTCTATTTATTTATACTTTCGATGGCTTCCGCTGCATAAAGATCTGACCGGTTATAGTTGGAGGTGGCGTCAGGGGTCATACGAGCAGCCTTTGACCTCATGACGTCAGATATTTGATTAACAAATCAGCGCTGATGTTTCTAATGGGGTGCCCACAGTTCCGTGCACCGTACGTCAAAAATTCGCCGCAACAGGCCGTTTCATTGGCTAATCTCTCACATCAACCAGAACGCGGATATAACAACACTGCCAGATCCTAGCCTAGAAAACACAAGTATATAACGAAAGATTGAACTATAAAATCGAAACGAAATAGGATCTGTGTTTTATTCAGATTGCGGACCATAACGCCTACAAGTTCGATAAAATCCATTATTCTCTTGTAAATTTCATATAATACATATAGTGACATCAGCTATAATATTTATTGATACAAAAATTATTTTTATCTCATTTTAACTGATAAATCTGGATAGCACGAGTAAATGAGCAGAGCAGGGCGAGAGCAGATTTTCGAATTTCGTTTTCCCTCAATTATGACTTAAGCAAGGCTGACACTTGCACGATTCCGTGGCACGCATTGGCACGACTCGAGTCGTGCCAGTACGGAAACTAGTCGTAAACTGGCGTGAAGTGTGCGTAAACCCGTCGTGACTGCGTGCCATGTCGGGACGTGTTTACGCATATGCGCAAACTGTTCGTGAACTCGTCGTGAACTCGTCGGGACGATGCGGGAGGAAGCGTGGCAGTGCGTGGCAGTGGCTAGAGCAGCTGCTGCCAGATATAGGCATCTTCTCTTCCCTGCAATGATTGTGTCTCTGACATTCAGCATGATGTCTCTTCCACAGCCAATTCAAAAATGACCAGGAGTTGGGGAGGCCCCCTTTTTATATGGCGTGTCCAAGACGGCACGACAGCGTCCGAATTGCGCAAACTCGTCGTGCCAATGCGGGAAGTGCGTAAACAATGCGTAAACTATGCGTAAACTCGTCGTGCCAGTTCGTGTCAATGTGGACACTGATGGGCACGCATTCGTGAACTCGTCGTGAACTATGCGTGAACCAGTCAGTGAACAGTGCAAGAGCCTCCCAGTTCGTGCTAAAAAGGAACCAAACCTCTATTTATTTCAATATTTTCCATAATTTCATCAATTTCTAAGTGTCCCGAGTGATTTGAAGCTGAACGAACTTTAGGTGTAGATTTATAACAAACGTATTATGAGCAATTCAATGGCTTTTCCGGTCTGTTTTCGGCCCATTATTCAATTATTTTGATTTATCCAGTGAATTAAAATGCTTCATTTTCATTAAAGATGCATTATGTAAGATTAGATACAGAGTTATGCATTCTTGGTGTAATCTACATAAACAATATCAGAGTGTATATGTGGTCAATTGCATCTTTAAAGTGTCTTAGTAACCTCTTCTGGCAACTTGTTTAAACTTGTTAAAACTTCTGGGGGCGAATCCAATTTAAATAAGTGTCTCCAATTATAGCCACACTTGAATCTGGCTTTATACCAAATAATCCCTGATGTTTTGCCAATAGAACTACATCAACATTTTTATATATTTTTTATGTCAAGCACTTCCCAGTTAATGTCATCAATAATCTTCCTGGATTAAATTAAGTTAACCCAGTGTAGTGCATTCAGTTTTCAAATTGTTAAAGCAAAAATCTCAACTTAAAAAAACCAACCTCACAACAATTGTTAATAAATTCCTTATCATCCATTGATCATAAAAGGGGAATTCGGTGTTGATTTGACTAACGCGTGCGCTTTAGATCGAAGGGTCTGTAAATGAGTCCAGTCCCAGTCTTGACAAGCGAATTATTGTATAATAGTTCCAAAATCGCCTTGTTTGCGTCAAGTGGACGTTAAGATTGAACTTCCGGTGAAAGCAGCGTCCAACAAAACTTTATTAGCGCTTGGCAAAGAACAAAAAATAATCTTTCGGGTAGGATGAAAAACAGAGGTCTCGTGTGTACATTGACGTGAACGTAAGGGAACCCTTGACAGTTAAGATTTGTTCATCACAGATTTTGTACGCTTTTCTGCTTCCGAAATTTATAATTAGAGTGACAAAATGTATACTCCAGCGGTTATAGGAACCGAATTAGAAGGGAAATAATTTCTCTCCATACCGCGTAGTGATATTTGATGTATGAAGTCTTCTGATTGGTCAGACTTTTACAGAACTAGGTAACATCAGATTGACTGATCAAGTTTTTTTTATGTTTGGTTTAGTGGCCAAGAGCAAGTGAAACAACACGAGGGACGCCAGTCCAGAGGTGTTGTTTCAATACATTACGCAATGACTTAAGCTCGAGACCATTAAACGACTTAAAATACAGACACGCGCACGTGCTTTGCAATGGAAATACGTCACGCGAGTCCTAAATATTAACTAGTTTAAAAAGATATATGCTTGGAACATTATTTGAAATAATGGTACGTCAACATCAAAGGAAGATGTCACATCTGTATTTTAAATAAGATTAATGATTCAGAATACGTATTTACCTACGGCAACTGTATACATTTTAAAACAATAATTTATTCAGAAATTAAAAGGCATTAATAAACAGGCATAGCCTATATGACCTCCCTCCTAGATACAAGAATGGATATGTAAAAAAAATAAGTGAGTAAACAACAAAACAATACAACGAATACTTAATAATACTTAGTCAACAACATTTTGTATATACATATTTACACATTTGCTACGCAGTTTGATCGATATTGATGTTACACTCTTTTTAAAACTTTCGCTAATGTCAAAAAACAAGTGGATCTTTTCAAAGATAGCTAACGAAGTATGACCAATGCTTACACCGTATAACAGATTATGTGTATTTTGCGTGCCTTAGAATGTAAGGAGCAATGTAAAAGAAAATGGTTGGTATCTTCGAAGAAATGACCGGAATCACACGCGGGGCTGTCCAAAATAATTAAGCCTTAAATATTTATGCCCATTTAGGTCACTGCAAACTGAATAAAAAAAGGAATACCTATATTTAATGTGATGATTGTAATATATTACTTATCAATTTTGTATTGGAATTATTATATTATTTTGTTAAATATTTAACTATACCCGCCGGCATATAGATCCAGAGACAATAATTGTTTGAAGACGGACACAGATTTCATAATTTTTCCCAACAGGTTGTTTCTGGTTGACATACTAATGCAAAATATTTAAATTTCAAATCTTCGTGTCTACTGGTTTGAAAAAATATATCTACAAATTCCCCACCAAGCGATGGCTGGGCTGTCAAAATTAACAAACATATCTCCAGCAGGCCATGGATTGGTGAGGTAGAAATCCCCAATTGTTTTCGATAACTCTCATCATGGTAGATGCACTGGTAGTTTTATTTAATCCTGTCAGTATCCCAGCATGCAAATCTCTTCCATTACGTCACCTATGTGGGGACAGGCAAGATTTAGCCAACATGGAATGCTACTCTCATACAGTAAAGAATTTTTGGAGAGAAATTGTTCGTTATTAAATCCTATTTAGTTTATCGAATAAACACTGCTATCATTAACTATTGATGTTTTTCCATAAAGGGAGATAACTCCTTGTACCGTGTGGGCTCAGCGTAGCAATTGAAAAATCCAGGGGAAGGATCTAAGTCACATTTTTGTCGAGTAAAGTTAAACCCATTTTAGGTTCTACTCTGGTTTCGTCCAGGATCGGGTGGGTGACATAGTATATGGTATAAGTTCGATGTTTCTTCTAAATAATGGTTAGTAAATACATACCAAAAATTACGTCCTCTCTCGAGCTGTGGTGGCTCAGCGGCTAAGGCGTTGACCGAGAAAGTTAATCAGGATTTTCAGGCGTACCCCACCCCCACCCACCCCTAACACTTGTCAATGGTGCAGGACGGGCCGCCTGTTAATGGTCATTGTATTGTCGTTCAGATGGGACGAAAAACAGAGGTCCCGTGTACACATTGGTGTGTACGTTAAAGAACACTTTACAGGTAATAAGAGTAGACCTAGGTGCCGCCCCTCCCTTCTCTCACCGTTCAGCCTAACCATGATATAGGGAAAAGTTAATGATAGACAAAGAGACAGGAATTAACAGTGAAGACCATGGGAACATCTTTGGCTCAGGGGGCCACCAACCCTGCGATTTAAGCACAATAGTTCAATGAATACCTATTGGCTCTGTGCACATTCTAAACGATGTGTGTTACCAGGTGTTCTAGAGAGAGAGAGAGAGAGAGAAATTGGGATTAACGTCCACTCGACACAGACTAGGTCATTTCTGGACTAACATGGTATAATTTTATTTTAACAATTCGCATGCGCGTAGGGGTCTTTAGAAGTGGGAGGAAACCGGAGGACCCGGAGAAAACCAACGAGGTTGAACATGCGACCCAGTTGACTCAATGAACATTAAACCCCCATTTCATTTCAGTTCTAGAAAAAATAACCAACACAGTACACGATCTCGTTTTATGTATCATAAAATAATGATGGAAGTAAAATTTCTGAAAAAGTTTATTTCAGAATAATTCTACAAGTTTAAGCTGAGATAATACATAAAGCAAACGACTTCTATACATATTATTATTCTTTTATAGTTATAGAAAAGTATATAAAAACATGACTTTGTTATTTAACATTTAAAGACATACCAAAATTCATGTTTTACAGTTATAGAAAGATATACAAGACAAACAAGAGCTTGTGATTGACATTTAGCATTTAAAGACGTAACAGTGGACCCTATTCTTGGAATAGATATTAGTTCGAACATAACATCCAACCCAAAGCATGTAATCTTTGGCGTACAAGTTTCTTTCACCAGAATTTAGCCTATGAAGCATATTGCACGAATTTTGAATTTTTACTTGAGGCGACTAGATGTTTTCGAAAATTTGATCTGGGTAAATGCCATTTTAAATCCATTGTTGGATTATAAAACCAAATGGACCCTCTCCCTTTAACTTATGGGCCATCTCCTTTAACTAAAACTCGCTAAATTGGAGATTAAAACGAAATAAGTTCACTAAACAAAAAAGGGCCGATTGCAGAAGCAGAATCTAACACTGATTTCAGTGTAAAAAGGGCGCTTTTGTGAAGGGGGACATAAGCCTGTTGGGCTGCGTGGAGGCCCAATCGGAATATACTAATTATATTTTCAAACACAAATTAGTTTTGAATGAGTATAGACCCCCTTCTCTCCAACCTCCAACGGTTATCTTGTTTTATTAAACATACATCATGCAATAGCTAAATCTGCCTATTACAGGCCTTTTCTTGAGGCCTGAAATGTTATCTAGATTATTAATTAGACATTAATTAACTTATATAATTCTTAATCGCTAGCCTGGATTAGGATCCGATTTGCTGCTCAAGTTTCATTTATGATTTAATCGAGGCTATGTTTTTTTTTTATCTTACCGACTTTAGTAATGATGATCGAGGCTAGGCTGAAAATTCAATCTCTAATTTCTCGGTTCAGAGTCGATCAATTTGACTGAAATTTTCAGCAAATTCTCTTTATATTATCTAGTTTTTAACTATTCTAGTGAGAACTTCCATCTCTTTATCTAATCTCCCATAATGATGTATCTTTAAACGAATCAAAGATTCAGTAAGACAAGGTGATTTTTTTTTAATTAGTCTAGAAACCCTAAAAGGGTTTCAACTATCAACGAGACAAGACAGATTAAGGCAAAATATTTCAATTTCAAATCTGCATTCCTAGCTGTTTTAAAGAGTATATCAACAATAACAGTACAACCCCACCAAGGGATGGCTGTGTTGTTACAATTAACAAGTATATCTCCAGTAGGCCGGGTTTTGGCCAGATCGAAAACCCCAATCGTTTTCGACAACGCTATATGTTCCAGCACTAGTAGTTTTATCCCGTTGTGTCATTATTCCAACATGCCCACCTGCGCCAATTACGTCACCAATATTGGGACTTCTAACATTTCTCCAACATGGAGAAACCCCTAAATGAATAGACCATCGACTTCCCCATTCACCAGCACCAATAATTCCTCGAAAACCATACCTAAAACAAAATGTCATTTTGAAATATACCTGTAAATACTTCTCAAATAGTTCTGTAGCTTTTCCTTTCTCCACTTGGGGGTTGGGTTTCTGGTCAAAAATGGATTTAATATCTTCTTCATTTCTGGTGAAAACCGATTTGATTTACCCCCCGTTTATGGTTAACAATGAAAGGGTATCCCCTCCCCATCCGTGCCTTCTGGTAAAATATGATAGGATCTCCCCCGCGATTCTGGTCGAAAATGATAGGAACCTCCACCAGGGTTTTGATAAAAATAAATTGCAGGATTTCTCCCGCGTTTCTGGTCAAAAAAAAAAATTCTTCCCCTGCGTTACTGGTCAAAAACGTCGATTGGTCGAATTTGTTTTGTGATATGACGGAGTGTTTTCATTCCAAAATAAAAACGAAGGTGAATTTTGTGTGGAGATGTATATAGCTTAAAGATGCATTATATAAGATTTAGATAACCAGCTGGTCGTTCTTGCGCTAAAATAGTTCAAAAATGATTAATGAAAATTGTATATATATATATATATATATATATATATATATATATATATATATATATATATATATATATATATATAGTTAATGTCGGAGAGAGAGAGAGAGAGAGAGGGAGAGAGAGAAAGAGAGAGAGTTTATCTTCCACTCGACACAAACTAGGTCATTTCGGGACTAACATATGGTTCGATTTTATTTCAATAATTCGCTTGCGCGTAGGGGTCTTTAACAGTGGGAGAAAACTGAAGGACCCGGAGACAACCTACGAGGTTGGACAGGAGACCCTACTCCTTGTCACGCACAACCGGGGATACGAAACCACGCCAGTTGACTCAATGACACGTGCTAACCATTCGACCATCCCTTTTTCCGTGGTGTCTAGTCATTTGGATGGGATTAAACCCGAGGTCCCGTGTTCATATTGGCGTGAACGTAAAAGAACCATTAACAATTCAATTTCAAAATAAAAGTTATAGGCCGTAGCGCCGCTGTCCAGGCACAATGTCCCGCATAGAACAAGATATGACGTAGGCCATAGTGCCGCTGCCTGGGCAAAGTTTCTCTCATAGCATACTGTATGGCGTATGCCCGTTTTCATTAGTCCAGTCGATGCAGAAAAGTAGGGCGTTAAATGCCAATTCATTTCATTCTTGTCGGTAGTAGGTTCATAAATATTTAAATTACCTTGCGGGTACAGATCCCCCAACTTCATTCATGACATCAGCCACGAAGATATTACATTTGGGTTCACCTCTTAAACCTTGGTAGTTTGATGCTTCACTCCATCTTGTGTTACCGATATATGATCTGGCTTTACGAGCTATTGTACTACCAGATACAGCATCACATCTACTGACCTACAATATATACAGCATCACATCTACTGACCTACAATATAATATATGCAGGAGGCTACATAAAATTAATTGTAAAACAACACTTTCTATGAGGAAAGTGTAAAGGGCGTGTGCTTTATAATTTACCATCAGATCGTACGATGGGATGGGCATTCAAAGCGCAAGATAATGCTATAGACACGGAGAGATCGGTCGGTAACGTCGCTGTCCGGACACGGCGTATGTCCGTGTTCTTTTACCCTTGTATGCAGATATGTTTGACGTTCAACGGCATTTCGGGGGGGGGGGGGCGAATGGTTAGCACGTACGTGCTGTATCATAAGGCCTGTCATTGAGTCAACTGGCGTGGTTTCGAATCCCCGGTTGTACGTGACAAGGAGTAGGGTCGCCTGTCCAACCTCATGGGTTTTCTCCGGGTCCTCCGGTTTCCTCCCACTGCTAAAGACCCCTACGCGTAAGCGAATTATTAAAATTAAACCATCTGTTAGTTCCGAAATGACCTAGTTTGTGTCTCTCAACGGCATTTCATTTCATTTACGTTCTCTGTAAAAGCTGTCATACTCCCAACATCATTGTATTGTACATAAGCTATATAAGAGTAGGTCTTAGCGCCGCTGTCTTGGTAAAATTTCCCTCATAGCACACTGAATAGAAAATGGCGTATGCCCGTCTTCATAAGCCAGTTGGAGTAGAACTGTAGGACGTTAAACCCGATTTCAATTATTGTCCTTGGAGATTCTGAACGTATAGTCAAATATCATACCATCACAACACCCGACAATACCTGTAGACTGTGTAATGGCATCATTATTTCCTTCAAAATGTTTAAAGATACATTATGTAAGGCTATACTATTTTAAAAAAAATAGATAATGCAAAATGATATAATGTGGCATAGATTATTTATCAGCGTAACAACGGTACTGACTTGTTTTTCTGGGCTAAGCCATATTCGACATTTTTTAAACATGCATTATGCAAGAGCTAAATCTGCCTATTGCAGGTCTTTCTTTAGGCCTGAAATGTTTTCTAAAGTCTTAATTAGACATTAATTAACTGATCCAGGCCTTAATCAACTCTCGATGTCCTCAGATTTATCCGATATTAAATAGGTTAGAATGGTTCAGCGATACTTTGATTTAATCAAATATGGAGGACCGAGACTTAGCTTCGATCAACCAGTACGGTGGTTGAAATTATTGCACACGTCTGTCAAACCTTCAAAGGCTAATATCTTCGCTTGTAATAGAGTAATTTGAATGAAATTTTCAAATTATTCATTTTACATCATCTTCTTTCGAACTATTATAGCAAGAATGGCTAGTTCTTTATCTAAATCTTACATAATGTATCTTTAATTAAATCATTAAATGGTGACCGTGTTTTAATTCATTTAAATCTCCGCCATCCTACGATTTATAGAGTTAATTATGGGCTTGTCATGTGAATAAATATCTAAATAGTTTCTATAACATTTGAAGCCACAAAATAGGTCTTCAATCGGGAGATTTAACTCTTACATAATGCATCTTTAAGGATTGCCTGAACTGTGTTTACTCCTGGTGAATTACACCTCTCTTTTAAATTTGTTGGTATAAAGAGTTGATTATACATGCAGGACTGTCGTGTGAATTAATGTATAAATAATAACTATATAAAATTTGAAGCCAAAAAATAGACCTACAATAGGCCGAATTAGCTCTTGCATAATGCATGTAAGCTTGCCGTGTGCATAAATGTATAAATCATAGTTATATAAAATTTGAAGTACAAAAATAGACCTACAATAGGCCGAATTAGCTCTTGCATAATGTATCTTTAATGTTAATTTTATGAAGTGGCTGCACAGACATTTCAAAGCGAAAAAATAACTTACCGCTTGCAAAATCAGACAGAAAATAACAACAATGCATTGGTCCCTCATTTCTTCTGTTGGAAGCTGCTGACAACGTCTAAAAACTTCTTAAAATAAATGTCTGCACCCCGAGTTACTACTTTCAGCTTCTTTGGTAAATCAATGACAATAACTGGATTACATGCTTGTATTTATATCAGTAACTTGGATTTTTCTTGCTAAAATCCCCTGAATTTACTGACCAATAGAATAGCACGAACCTTATTACAGACTTTCAGTGTCAAGTACTATCTCATAAACATCTTCAATATTCTTCCGGAATAAAGACACGCTATTTAAGATGTAAGTTGTTAAAACAAAACAACAAAATAAAAAAAAAAGATTCATTTGTCGATGTCAAGTACTTTTTCCCGTCAGCGTCCTCAAGAATCTTCCGGAATAAAGTCACATTAACCCGTAGTAATGTTGGGCATAAAATTAAAAGCTCAATATTTTTAAAATGCAATTCTACATGAAATCGTGAATTTGGTCTGTATATAAAACATGAAACGAACAAGTCATCTAAAGTTGGACAGGTGACCCTACTCCTTGTCATAGTAAAGCATAGTTGCATAGTAAAGCAACCCTACTCATAATAAGACCTGTCAAGTCAACTTGTAGTGGTGTTTATATGCCATGTGGCTCTACAAATCCCCTGTCTAGTCATTCGCATGAGCCGAGAAACCAAGGCCCCGTGTATACATTGTTGTGCACGTAAATGATCCATTTGGCCGGGCAAAATTTCCCTTATAGCACACTGTATGACGTATGCCCGTCTTCATTAGCCCAGTAAGAGCAGAACAGTAAGATGTTAAACCCCATTTCATTTCATTTTTCTACAAATCTCCGAAGAATTTGGGGGATCACGTGGCTAAGTGGGTAAGACGCTGGCTCGCTAGCCTGGAGGTCGGTTGTTCGATCCCTGCATTGGCCGAGAAAGTTCATCCAGATTTTCCAGCGTGGTTTCCCCTTGTCAGTGATGCAGGACGGAGGGCCTGACAAGGACAGCTGTCTAGTTGTTCGGATGGGACGAAAAACAGAGGTCCCTTGTACAAATTGACGTGCACGTAAAAGATCCCTTGGCAGATGGAATTCGATACAAGAGTAGGCCGTAGCGTCGCTGCCCGGGCAAAATTTTCCTCATAGCACACTGTATGGCGTATGCCTGTCTTCATTAGGTCAGTTTAGGAGCAAAATAGTAGGATGTTAAACCCCATTTCATTTCATTTCATTTCATTTCCGAGTATTTGATGATGCATTAAACCATAGAACTAGAATACTATTTAATTACCGGTGATGACTTTAATACCGACTTTTCTAGAATCTCTCCAACAACTGAACGGTTACAAAACTTTTTAGCCTTACTAATCTGAAATACATGTTAGATCATCCAAATTCTTAGGTTTTATACACTTATGAGAGTAAAAACAACTGGTTATAGATCACTTTTTGACCATATATTTATATCCCCTAATCTTTATGACTATGTTAAAGACTACGTCTCAATCCACGATGGGGATATACTGTCTGATCACGCAGCACTTCGTCTGTATTGACTATTAAAACCAGCATTATCCTTAGTGGTTTAAACCCTCTGATATTCATATTCAACAATATCAGGTAGAATTAGACTACAGATTAAAATGTGTTGGCATTCTTATAGATGAAGCAGGCATTTGGATGGGGGCGGTGTTGGATGGCAGAATGGTTAGCACTTCCGAGCTGTATCATAAGGTCTATCATTGAGTCAATTGTCGGCGTTTCAATTCCCCGGTTGTACGTGGCAAGGCGTAGGGTCGCCTGTCCAGCCTCGTGGGTTGTCTCTAGGTCCTCCGGCTTCCTCCCATTGCTAAAGACCCCTACGCGCAAGCGAATTATGGAAATAAAATTGGACGATATGTTAGTCCCGACTAGTTTGTGTCGAGTGGACATTACCCCCTCACCCCCCCCCCCTCTCTCTCTCTCTTTCGCTCTTGTAGATGGTATAAATTGTAATTGTTTTCTTTGTAAATCACATTTACAACATATTAATGATTACTACAACCAACTTATTGGGGTTAGTATATCACCTGCTGAGCATACAATTCCCAAAGTCTAAGCATAATAAGAACAGTAGCCCCCCAGTTCCCGACTGGAAAGATCATGTCGAAAACAGTAGAAACGCGTCTATATTTTAGCACAACATATGGAAAGACAATAATCATCTTCGATCGAGAATCATTACCGATATATATGTAATCGTACAGGGGTCCATTCATTAGACGCTGATATCCTGTGAGGGCTAAGCAGGATAATATAATAGCAGACATCTTATCTGAATCTCTACTAAACGATAGAACTAGAGATTTTTTGGTAGAAATTGGCATCATCAAGGGTAAAGCAAAACCCATAGCCACTAATTGATGGTATGTCGGAGCTTGTGATATTGCTAAATGTTTTACACATAAATATAAAGAATTGTATTTCTTACGACAATGCTAATGTGGAAAGATTAATTCGCGACATTTATTCCAACAGCATGCACTTTGTTACAGAAATACATACAATACGAAACATTATATCTCTAAATATATAATGTTTCTGAAGCTAGACAAACTGAAACATATTTAGATCAAAGTATTGATCATCTTATATACTCCTCAAATATAATGTATATCATGTCCATTCATCAATGTTATTAACTGCCGTGATTCAGCATGATGGCCGAATGGTTAGCGTGTGCGCGTTGTATCATAAGGTCTGTCATTGAATCAGCTGGCGTGGTTTTGATTCCCCGACTGTACGTGACAAGGAGTAGGGTTGAATGTTCAACCTCGTGGTTTTTCTCCAGGTCTTCCGGTTTGCGCCCACTGCTAAAGACCCCTACGCGCCAGCGAATTATTGAAATAATATTGAACCATATGTTTAGTCCCGAAATGACCTAGTTTGTGTCGAGTGGATGTTAAAACCTCATTTATCTTTCTCTGTTGTCCATAATCATTTTGTTGGTCAACGATTACATCCATACCTAAAAATCGTAGACAATACTTGAATAGCTCTAGTAACTACAGAGGAATATCACTGAGTAATATTATAGGTAAATTAATTGATTTGATATTATTAGATAGTTATCCTCATATATTTAACTCCTCACAATTACAATTTGGTTTTAATAGTGAACACTATTATTAATAACCATAATTTATGTGATATATATAGGCATAAACATCCGGACCAAGTTCAATTCACAAGACGAGCAGTCAATAACAACAGACTTCGTACGAGTCGTATAGATTATATTCTAGTGAGCCGGTCGGTCAAGACAAATGTCAATGTTTATATAACACATACAAAGTTTTCCGATCATAGCCAAGTGATTCTAAAGGGGCCCATACATGTTCAATAATTCCGTCAATATTATTGACCCAATATATTGACTCAATATATTGACTCAATAATATTGAACGTGTGTGGGCTATATTCATGTAAAATATTGTCAGTAACCATCATTGCGTCAATATATTGACGGATCAAAAATATTTTGATTTTTATTGATGGTTCATCAATATATTGACGGATGGTCAATTTATTGAATGACAATATTGATCGTGTGTGGAGAATCTGTCAATAATTGCATTAATATTTTCATTCCATCGTCCACCTTGGAAGAGTAAACATGGCATCCATTTTGAAAAATGACCAAAAAATGATGAAATTATTGATGGAAATATTAAATCGTGTGTTGGCGATTTCTGTCAATATTATTGATTTAGGATATGATGGTACACTCGGTAAAACTGCTCAGGGCGCACAAAGTGATGTTTAAAATACTTTTTACAAGTTAAAAGAAAAACTTAGTTTAAAAGGTTAATGATTAATAGCACTGTAAATATATTTAAATCACTGATTAAAAGCCATGTATTAAAATAGTGTGTTTTGCGGTATCAGTGTCCGAAAAGTTTCTGATTCTGCCGATCCTATAAAGATGGAAGTTCGCATTCTTGCAGATGGTAGAAACCTTACTGTTTCATTTCAAATTCTCATCCATGTGCACTCCAAGAATAATGACAAAGTTATGCAAAGACAGTTCTGTTTTCAAAAAGAAGATAGACTCCGTTTTGTCATCACTGAGCTTGGGAAGTTAGACTGCATCCAACTACGAAGGTCTTCTATACATACCTCTAGTTTCTTCAGGGTTTTGTTGTTAGCACTACCTCCACATAAAGATGTGGTCATTCGCATAGATATGGTAGTCGAAATCGTTGCCAATCTTGTACGAAGTGGTCGCCCATGTGAAAATGCCGTCCCATTACTCAGACCTATAGCAAGACACTTTCCCCAAAGAATTGTTCCAACAGGGGCAAAGAAGTGTATCTCTAGGTCTTGTGCTGTCTGTGTTCCTGGCCAAGAGTGAAATGGGTGTACAACAGGGAGTAAAAAGAAAGCACCCTGGTTGAGACTCTGTATAACAATGTAATGATTGTAATAAAACACTTTGTGTTGACCCTTGGTTTGAACTATATCATACTGCCGAGAACTACAAACTTATAGATAAAAATTAAACAGATATTATTAAACCAGAAATTAGAAAACATTAACAAAATAAATGAGAATTAGACAAAACAATATATTTCAATTATCATTAAATGGTTGAACTGTTCTTATCTATTTAAAAGCGAACCTATCCGATGGCATTGAGACTTGGTTATGATATTTTGATGTTGATAGATATCTAATTAATAATTTATATAACATTTAAGGGCCAAAAGAAAGACCTCCAATTGGTAGATTTAGTTCTTGCATTATGCCTCGTTTAATGTTTGTTCTTTTTTTGCTCTGAATGTTAGCAATAATTGTGCTGTTTTGGGTAAATACATAGTTAGGTTGTAATATAGATCTACCAGTAGTACTACGGTCGACCGATTGTTAAAAATCAATTTAGATATTAGTAGGGTAATGTTGTTCTATGATATGCTCCTATGTGGGCCTTATGGTAATAATTTATTATTATTATTATTATACATTTAAAATTGTTAAATATTTTAACGTGTTACTAATAGATTATAGTCTTAAAATTTTTATAACCCAAATTGCATACTCTGATAGCTACATTTTAATATAGATCTAGGTCATAACCAGTAGGTCTAATGCATTTGTTCAAAATT